TCACTAACATGGTACGATGTCTAATGAAACTTTCAGGTAACTTTCTAATTTCGCTATCGATCAATGATTCTAACACTTACATTTCTCAAAGGCCTGAATTGGATTGGATTGTTTTAGCAACTTATTCGGTAAGTCGGCAAAAATAGCGAACAGCTAACAGTTCAACACATGATAAAAAAAATTATAACCAATTTAATCTTTTGAAACATATAAATATTTAACAAACCTATTCTAATATTTTTTACTGATACAATTGGACTATCACCTTTATGGTTTCTACAAATTGATAATAATGATGAACCATTGTTGTAGTGAGAATCAATTGAATGCAAAACGAACAATATTTAATAATAAATATGTCGTGGGATCGTTTGTGAAAATCGTTGATTTTTATTTGTTGTCGAGTTGTGTGTGTTAGTGTTCCTGACTCGGAATTTTCGGCTGAAAAACGTGCTCGTTCTCTCTCACCGACATTTCTCGGTCGAAATAGGGAAAGTAGAAATAGGCAGGAGCATGCGACTCGGAAGCCGGTAATGCTACATATATACAGTGATATAATACAAATATACAGTAATACCCGCTTAACGCGGGGTTACGTTCAAAAATATTGAGCGTAAAGCGAAACAACAGCGCAAAGCGGGGTTATTTTTGCATAATTTACATAATGCATTTTTACTCTTCATATACAATGTAACAATGTATTGCAATGTAATGTAATTGCACAGCGTTATATCGAAACAGCGCTAATCGGGGCAGCGTTAAGCGAAGTATTTCTGTAATGTCGTAAAATATGATTGTTATATACGACCATAATTACGTTCTATGTTATGGGGGAGGATAATGGTCTGGGGGAAAATTCCACCATCATTTATAAATTTGCCTCCCCCATTTACACACATTAACACATATACACGCATATACACATTCGACGTCGGTTCAAATCCCATCGCGGCCGCCTGGGTTAATATAAAAAATAGTCAGTGTTGGGGGTGGATAGTGGTTTGCGCATAATCACTTATAAATTTGCCTCCCCCTCGCTTATAAAACCTATTTGTTGGGGAGGATAGTGGTATGGACCATAATTGTCCAATCACTTATAAATTTGCCCCCCAATTATTTATATACACATTTACACATTACATATAAATTAATTTAAAAAATAGTCAGTGTTGGGGGTGGATAGTGGTTTGCGCATAATCACTTATAAATTTTCCTCCCCCTCGCTTATAAAACCTATTTGTTGGGGAGGATAGTGGTATGGACCATATCCAAAAACCTATTTGTAAAAATAGTCAGTGTTGGGGGTGGAGGATAGTGGTATGGACCATAATTGTCCAATCACTTATAAATTTGCCCCCAATTATTTACATACACATTTATAATATCTAAATTTTCTTCTAAATTTAATTGTATAATAATACATACCAGTACACAGGGCCGAGAAAATCGCGAGGCCTTAAATTTTTATCATAGGCGAAAAAAAGAAATTGGTGAAATATTCGAAAAACACCGAGAAGCTATTGATTCACTGGCGGCAAAAAATATTGATGAAGTGTTGGCGGGACTGGTAAAAATTTGTAAAACATCAGATACATTTGCAAACAGGAAAATAAGTCATGAGATAAAAACAATTATGACATTTCATTTTTAAAATTTTTATATTTCGAGAAATTGAACTTTGAACTTTCATCCTATATATAGGATCATGGGCACACAAACAACAAAAATTGCATATTGTATTGGATATTATTGTTATTTCATCAAATACAATTGATATATTTGGTTTTTCTCATAGAAATCATTTTATAAATTAAAAATAGATCAATTTGGAGTGTCTTTATTTTATAATTGACTATATGATTTAAAATTTCCCCGTTATTGTGGAATATATTAATTGACAAATTGTTAAAATTGCCTTTGCCACACAATTGTCATCTACAAGCCTATGCGGATGATTGTCTGATTTTTTGTGAACATCCGAACGCTGATAATTGTACTTGGCTTGTTAATAATTGTTTAGAGATTATCTATGAATGGGGATTAGCCCATGGACTAACTTTTAACCCTTCCAAATCGGAAGCTATGATTATTACCAAAAAGAGAAAATTTAACATTCCAAACATGAAAATCAATCTTTCGGTTACAAATGAAAATGATACTTGTTTTCAACATCAACATTATTATCATATATACACTGATGGATCCAAATTCGAAAATTATGTTGGTGCTGCGTTTGTTGTTTTTTCAGTCCATGAAAACCGTATACCATTTTTGAGAAAAATGTTTCGTCTGGATAATCGTTGTTCAATTTACCAAGCCGAACTTTTGGCTGTTGTTGAGGCTATAAATTGGGTTGTTGATAATAATGTTCCTGGCGTTAAAATTATGTCTGATTCTCAAGCTGTATTGTTGTCGATTCAAAAAATCTATTCTTCCAATAGGATGGTACAGCATATTTTTCAAAAAATCGTCAATTTTAATGGACATATTTGTTTCGAATGGGTTAAAGCGCACAATGGAAATTTTGGAAACGAATTAGCTGATTATTTAGCCAAAAGAGCTGTAGAATCGCCGATTTTGAATTACGATCTTTTGCCTTTATCCTTCTTTAAATACGAATTCAAAAAACAACTATATTGTGCCTGGAATGAGATTTGGACAACATGCTCTAATGGATCCACTACTAAAAAATTTTTTCCACTTGTCAGCATCAGATCAGGAATCAATCTGTCTCCCGATTTCATTCTTACCCAATTTCTTACAGCAATTATATTGTAAATATATTTTTAAAAAATTATTTGAAAGTCAGCTTCACCGGTCGGTAGATGCAGTTTGAGGAGATTATCGTAAAGAATATTCCATAATAGAGGAGAACATTTGGCTCCTTGTGGACACCCACGGCTCAGTAGTTTTTCGGCTGATTCCCCACATATTGTGAGTTTGGCTTTCCTGTTTGTGAACTGGCTTCTGAATATATTGACGAGGTTTTTGGGGATTGAAGCGGTTTGAAGATCACTTGAGCCAGGTTTTGGGATTACTTTGACGATAGATACTTTCCATCTGTCCGGGAATGTACCGAGCTTTAGACATGCATTGTAGATGTTTAAGAATAAAGTGGGAAAAAGATTGTTGAGATGTTTGATGATGTTGGCACAAATTCCGTCTTCACCACGGCTTTTATTATCGTTTTCGGTCAAAATGGCATCATATGCTTCTTCGGAGCTGAATGGGACGTCGTCCAATGTTGTCGGGTGGGTCGTCAGGAAAGAATTTGTTGAACAGATGACTAGCTGTTTCTATCGGCGTATTTGTCCATCCGTTGTCGGTTTTTATTTTTTCTAGGCTTTGATTGAGATTTTTTGGGGTTTTGCACCATTTGTATACTTGTTTCCAGACGGAAGAGCTGTCCTGCACGGAGAAGAACTGTTGACATTTTAGTCATCGACCATGTAAATCGTTGAACGCTGATCATACGATGAACTGTCTGGCGCCTTTGCGTGGATATGTCTTTAGATATAAAATAACTAGCTCAACTAAACACATGGTTCTTGGCTTGTAATTGATTTTGTGCTCTCTATTGATCTCTCTCTATCTTGTCTTGATTGTATTATGCTTATGATTGTGATTTATCTTTCATCATTGATTCATTATATTCATCAATAAACTATTTCATTATTACTAAATTGTGATTGTTATTCGAAGTGCATCAAATAAACAACAAGAACTGTCTGATGGAATTTCTTTTGGTCATAATTAAATTTTAACATAAAAATCATTCAAATCATATTTTTCTTGTGGGATTAAAAAATAATATCATAAAGTTTTTTTTAAAATCGTCCAAGCGAGATGGCTGAGAAAATTGCCTTAACTGAAAAGTGACCGGAAGTTTCTTCAAATCAACCGGAAGTGGTCGGAACTTCCGGAGCAAAAATCTCCCAAAACATTTTCATTTTCACTCCCACAATCAAATTGATCAACAAAAGATTGACCAATTCCGATTCCTAGCTAATGGTATCCTTTTCCAGCAAAGAAAAAGGCAAAAATCCGAGCTGCCGGATTTGAACCAGCGACCTATGGATTTCCGGTTGAAATCGGGAGCGCTTCCGCCCCTTTTTTCAACAACTACACCTACTACAGTCCACCGCTACTACCAACTGAGCTAAGCTCGGATCTTTTCGTCTTCCGGTTCCGTCATGTTTGAACCATTCCGGAACACATAATCGAATATAGTTTTACTTCAATTTATCAATTATCGATGACCAACGATGATGATTAACATCGATACAATTAGATAGGCAAAAACAACAAAAAAAACCTGTCTAACAACATTCGTCAAAACGAAAGCAAAGCAAAACGATTCTGACCCAAAATAGCGAAAGCCGAAAATAGCGAAAGCTGAAAATAGCGAAAGCTGAAAATAGCGAAAGCCTAAAATAGCGACTTAAGAAAATAGAGAAAGCCAAAAATAGAGCGACTCACTTGACAACATTTGCACCAGTCTTTGAATTACGATAGATATAGCACCAATTGAACAAATTAAATAAATTTTTATCTTTTCTGAAAGAATTGTGTTTTCACCACTTTCACTGTCATCAATTTGATGAATGTCTTCGGGTGAATTTATTCAAAAATTCAAACATCGTTTCTATTTTTTCCATTATTCCTGTTGAATTAAGAAATGATGATGATAACAAACATATATACAGTCATTTACCTCGGACGTGCACATTGCGTCTAATGAAATGATGAAGAAACTGTATATATATGATTGAAATGACAAAGAAAAAACAAAGACAAGACACAATCATTGCAGCGAATAAATCGATGATGAAATTTCAAACGTTGCTGTTTATAACCACCGCAACAACAAAATGTCGCTGCCAACACAGTTCTCAAAAGCATTGTCAAAGTTACGGCTCACAGACTACACTTGTGTTCAGAAGCTACTTCTGCCTCTCAATGTTTTACATGGCTAGATTGTTGGCTGACAACAACTGTTGATTTTTTTTTTGTTTTGGAATGAAAGAAAAATAAACCCAAAAAAATCAAAATCAAAACACTTTACAACACAATGTTCATGATGGAATGGAAAAGTCTATTCTAGATTGTTTGTCAATACAATAGTTTTATCTAATCTAATGAACCGAGACCACCTAACCTAACCTGTTTCCGGTAACTGTTACTGTTATTGAAACCAATTGAAATACATCGGCGCCGCCCATTTCAACTGCGATGAGCAGAATTACCATTCAAAATGAAATTAAAACCGACATACACAAATTCTAATTGGATAACCCAAATTTTCATTGATTAATGCTTGAAAATCTTTTACACTTGTAGATCGAATGAATTAATTTAATCAGTGAGATTGAAAATGATAATATATAAAACGAGAGGAAAAAAAACAATAAATCAGATTGTTTAAAACTATTGAAATATAATGATGATGAAAAATGTTTATAATCCAAAAAACGTATGTTTTGGTATATGCCATGAAAAGTAGTCATTAAATTGGCAACAACTAATCAGGTATAAACCAGGCTCATTATGTTGGTGCTTCGATGTTTTCAATGTTTTTGTGCTCATGATCATTGTTGAGCACATTAGATCATTATTAGAAGTACTACTCTACTATTGACCAAACACTATTTGATCCAGAACATTTTTTTTATTTGACAAATAATTTTCTTTCGTTTCTTTGTATACTTCTTGATTAATTGATTGTCATCATCATTTGAATATTGTTTCTAATAATTTAATTTTCTATTTTACTTATCTATATAGATAATTGAAGAAAATATATATACATTCTATGTTGCCTGTTACGGATATGGATATAAACATCATTGATCAAGAATCATGTTCAAAATTAATTATGAGTAATGGTAACTCACTTTATTCAACCCAAATCTATGGCGATATTGATACGATCAACAAATTGAAGCAATCATCGAGTTTTAAAGCATTGACTAATAAAAAACCATGGCCTGTTAAAAAGCAAAAATTATTAAAAGCTAGTACTAGTTCACCGTTCAAACTGAGACCAATCATTATTAATTCGAATACAAATTTTGATGATAATGATGAAAAAAGTATGTATGATTATATAAATTTCATTTCAAATACTTATTTATTTTTTTTCCCATGTATTTTCATCAATGTATATAGATTTGAATATTGCTCCATCAGTAAATTCTGATGGTAAAGAAGAATTTCAATGTCCAATATGTAAATTTTCATTTAGCAGACTTTATGATTTAAAACGTCATTGTCGTACACATACTGCTGATAGACCATTTGGATGTAAATATTGTGGTAATATGTTCAAAAGAAAGAAAACATTGAAATTACATATTCGTATTCATACTGGCGAGAAACCATATCGATGTCCAATTTGTAACTATTCATCAACACAATCACAAAATGTTTACAAACATATTCGAATACATACGGGTGAAAAACCATTCAAATGTGATCAATGTAACAAAAGATTTTCGGAAAAACAAGGCCTAAAACTTCATAGTACCATACATGATTCGAAACAATTTCGATGTAAATATTGTCCAAATTTTTACAGCCGTCGTGATACATTACGTGCTCATATGTATGAAAAACATAAAACCGAACGGGATCGTGAATATGAAGCTATTGTTGCTGAAGTGATTGAATTGAATTCATCAAAATGATTGATTATTTCGTTTGCTTTTTGAACATTTCTCATTTATTGATAATCGTGTATTGGAAAAAAAATTTCTTGTATCCAAATTATTATCATTTTTTTTTCTTAAATTCATTGAAAAATTTTTGTTTTATTAAAAAATCACTAAAAATTGATATTCTAATAATAATAACGAATCGTTTATAAGAACCATCTGTTGGATGGATGATGGAAACTATATTGATGATGACCATGTGTATTTTACATGTGTGTTTTTATTTTGATTTGTTTATTTTCTTCTTTAATAATTTGATAATAATAATAATTTTTAATTTAAAGAAAAATGCAATCAAATTTCAAAACTTTATTTGAATCAATGATTGATAATCATCAATCGATTATTACGGATTTGCCAGATGAAATTAATTGGCTTGAATTAATGCAATCAATTGATGACAAGTATTCCAATTATTTGGTCAAACAATGCCAAAATGTTTGCAAGTTTTTGAAAACTCGATCCGATTGCCGTGATAAGATATTGAATATATTTTTCTATCTATTATTAGATATTGAACCAAATTGTTCTGTACAATTATTTCTTCTGAAGAAATTGAACAAAGAAAATGTATATAAATTATTTACTAATCTTGTTGAATCATCAATAATTGGCATCGAATACTTGCCATCGAATGCTGAACGAATTCTCGTGAATCTTTCGATTCTTTTCAATCATAATTTAATCAGTAAAGATTTTGGATTTTTATCCAAACTTATCGAAGCAATCTTTCGATTTCATCGGATACGTCGCAAAAATTTGGATCTCTATTGTCATGAAGATTCTACTTTTTCATCAACTGATTTATTCGGCAAATTTTCATTTTATTTTGACAATGAATTCAAATTGGCAAGCTTAATTCTTAATTGGATGCGTAAAAATGTTGAAAAATTAAATCCAGATTTTAAATGCACGCTTCGAGCATATTATAGATCAATATCGTTATTGTTGAAACAATATTTCTTTACAAATACCGTATTGATACAAGGTTGCCTTGTTATCATTAATGCTTGGTACCTGTTGTATTCAAATGATGAATTATCCGTATTCCATGATAATATCGAACCATTATCGTTGGAGTTCAATAGCGAATTTTTCATGACATTATTATCGACATTCCTAATGGAATCATTTAAATCACCAGCATTACTCACATTGAATATTGGAAATTTGATAAAACAAATGTTAACGATCGATCATTGTGATTCAAATTTCGTCTACCATCTTGCATTACTTCAATTCAATTGGGCTAAAACAATCAAATTTATTGTCGAAAATCATCGTGCTAAATTATCATCGACTATCATTGAAATTGTTATTCGACAAGATGTGAATGAAATGTTAAATTTTTCAATCCAAAATTGGTCACATACAAATGTTGATTACATTTTTTCCACTGCATCATTATCTATACAAATTTTAAGAATCATTTCTATGTCATCTTGGTTCGAATCTTATCTCATCAATCAATTATATCCAAAATTCTGTGAATTGAATCATTCCGATTTTCGTTTATTTTGCATTATATCTGATTCGATTGGTATAAAAGAGTTTGGAAAAATTTTTCAACATTTATTACGAAATGAATATAGTTTATTGAATTCTATGGAAAAATTATTATCAACAGTTTCAATTTCTTCATATGATAATGATACGAATGATGATGATGATGATGATGATGAGAATTTGTTTATAAATGTTTCAATACGAAATATTGATTTTGTTGAATACTTATCAATAAGATTAAAGTTATTTTATCCAGAACATATCGATATTCTTTGTGATGAATTTCTTAGATTATTACAAAAATCGCCTTATCGACAATCACAATATTTTCTTAAAATTATTCTTCCAAAACTTTTTCAACATTTTCCATCATCAAAAATGATTGTCAAACAAATATTCACATACGTATTTAGTGTTGGTGATGAACAAACATTATGGACAATGAGGCCAGATTTAATTTTGCTATTGCTACAATTAAATCAAAAGGAAAATTTACAAATTATTGATGAGAAAAATGCTGTTCAAAATTTTGCCGAAAAATTTGCTCTTCAATATATCAATAATAATGATGATGATTTACGGTTACATACATTACGATTGTTAATCGAATCGAAAATGAACAAAAAAGATGAATTGAATCAAATAGAATTAAATCTTATATATCGGCTATTCAAAAATTGCGACACCATTCAACGAGCATATGGTCGTGATCAGTTAATCAAGTTGTTTAGAATATTATTCACTAGAATTGCTCGAGCGATCACCACACAACATAAAAGAAACAAAACGGAATTTGTTGGAAACAATCAAATCTATTATGATTTCATTCAAATGATATGCCGATATTGTTTTGATAATCTACATATAAATCGATATTTTGGTTCATTGTTGATTTATTTACAAATTTTACATTTATTAGTCGACAAGTTACTTGTATCGACTAAACCGTTATTAATTATGCTACAAGATTCATGTATCACACCTGTTGATCGCCAATCCTTAATGTTCATGCTTCAACATAGTTTACAAGAAATTCGAACCGCTGCCAAAGATTTCATTGTTTCATGTTATCACTTGAAGCTTATAGCATTCACACAAAATGAAATTAATTTTCTCAACAAATGGTCCAAAACAATGTTACAATCCATCCAGCCTAGAGAATCACAAATCGGTGTCATTCTGAAACAGCTTACAGTTTCTCTTGATGATAATAATGGTTATTCTTCACATTTTGATGTAATTCAAACATTGATTATTGAATTAAATCAAAGAATCGCAGTGATTAATGTAAATATAACAAATTCTTGTACATCACCATGTTATCCATTGCTTTTAGCCATACGAACATTACTGTGCAATGAAATTGATTTGAATAAATTAAAATCTGATCTTCAAAATGATGAACAGAAATTGTCTTCTTGGAAAATTTTATTCATCCAAATGATCGATTCATGTATGGCTGCTTGTGAATCGATCATATCGATTGTCTGTAATGATTCACCAGAAGGTCACTTACCAGCTGTAGAAAATTTAGAGAATATAAATTTTGATTTTCATGATGATCATATAAGTGAATTGTATATGATATCACAAATGCTTTTGATAAACGGTTGGATGACAATCAAAGAATCAGTTCTTATTATAAGTCACTTGGTAAATTCGTTTCCATATCATCGATCGGCAAATGAAACGATAATATCTTGTGTATATATCGATAAAATTATTGATTTTTTATACAAAAATCAACTAAACCTTGTACATCGTGGAGCATTTGAACAAAGTTCACAAGGATTCAATCATCTTATAGCATCATTGTTGAAGAATGAATGTAAAATATGTAGAAAAAAAATTGAATCAAAAATTGATGAAATCAAAAAACGTTTACAAAAACGGGAAGATGATGGAATGTTTCCAACTTATGTTTCGATTACTCGTCGGAGTGCTGGACTTCCTTTCATTATACAATCAATTATTGCTGGCGATCTAAATGGCGTTTATTGTTCAACATTTATCGGAACATTGGTCGATATATTGGATACTGAAAAAATTGATCAAAATAATCAAAGACAATCATGGCAAATTATTCATTCATTGAATATTTTAAAATCACTGATACATGATAATCGATTATCATCGGTGACAGCTATTTGGATTGAAAAATTATTTAAAATAAGCATTTTATGGTTTAAACGTGATACATATAATCATTGTCTTCATGATTCTAATTCTACAAATTTTGTTTATTCAATACAGAATTCCACCTCATTGTTATTGTGTTCATTGATAACAAAGGTTTTTGGTGTGAAACGTAATCGTTTAGATACAAGTCGTAAAAATCGAATGTCATCATTATCATTCTTTCAAAGTTATCCAACACTTTATTCATTCATTTTACGACAATTAGAATCACCACAAATTGGCTATGATCATTCACAGTTATTGTTCATAAATCCTATTCTTATAATATTGTCCAAATTGATTATTTCGAAAAGTGCAAATAATGTTTATGATGCAAATAAATTTTTGCCACTAATTAAGAATATTATTTACGAATGTCGTGATGCTCGTTTACGTCGTTTAGCTGTTCATACCTATAGTCGATTATTATCATCAAATAGCTATTCAAATGTTATTATCGATTTGAATGAAAAATTGATTGAAAATGAAATAAAAACAAAAAAACTAAATCATTTACATGGTTTAGCAATGCTGGTGGCTGAAATTTCTCGAGAATTTTGTCTACAAACAATGAATTCAAACACAGAATCTAAAGATTTATCATCTTCCTCGTTAATCAAATTGTATGATAATCTGATGGAAATATTTAAGAATCAATGGATCATGAACGGCCTAGTATTGGGAATACTTCATCAAGCTCATTATAGAATCTTTGTATGTTTGAAATCAAAAAATGAATCCATTGTTTTTAAAGATCACATCGTAATACTCGAAGAAAAATTGGTCAAACTAATCACAAATAACAATGTACAAGATGATTATAGCGTCAATTTAATTATCGATTATCTCATCCATAGTTTTATTGATTCAACTTATCAAACATTTTTCTCGACACTCAACATGATCGTTGCAAGCGAAAAAGCTTTTGAAGCAAAATTGACTCTTTGGTACTGGCTCAATAGTAGAATACTATTGAATGATAATGATGTGAAACTGGACCGTTTGGAATTAAATCTTTTGAAATTCAAATTATCAAATTTGGATACTATATACATTGATAACATAGAAGAATCTATCAGAATTCAAAAATATTTGGCCAAAAATTTTAATCATCAAATCAGATTAGATCAAGAATGTATTTATAGCCTCATTCAAAATTCTATTGAAATAGATAAGTTTTTCACTGTCCAAAATTTGAATGTTTTCAATAATGTTGAATTGCTTATTTTAAATGAAATATTTATTCTTATTTTCATTGCAAGAAGAATTGGACTTTTCATTGATATGAATGACATTGTCAAAAGGCTTGCAAATTCAAATGTATATTCTTTTTTGGATCTAGCCTTGGAAATGGATGAAAATGACACTTTATTATTACTAATTGAACAATGTATTGAAGATTTTGATGAACCGATTTTGAATTCATCAGTATGGTCTAAATTTGTAGATAATATCGAAAATCTAGCTGCAAAACTGGAAAATATTTCCGATCGTTTGACAGCCATCTATTGTATTGGCAGTTGTGTACGAAAATTTCCATTTTCCAATCTATCTACTAATCAAGATTCATATGATATTTTGGTTCGAATTTCTATTCAATTTATTCAACTTTTACAAGATAATGAAAAAATTATTCGCAATGCTTCCGTCGTGCAAATTACAAAATTAGCTACCATGTTTCTAAATGAAATGAATCAGAATATGTCACCACAAAAAAATTGTATCCGATTATTTGTACAGATTATGATGACAGGAACCGAAAATCAAAATCGAATCCAACAAACAATTCGAGCCATTTTCCAAATCGCTTTACATTTTCTTGCCAATGACAATACATTAGAATCTTGTTCATCGGCCAGATTATTCGATAAAACAAAAATGAACATTTTCATTGATGAATATTCAATATGGATGGATTTAATTGATGAACTTTACTTATATTGTCAACAGCAGCAAATTATCGAATCAAAGCTTCATAACATTACATTGGAAATATTTCTCAAACAATCTGATGATTATATATGCAAACAATTCGAAAAAATTGAATCAGAATTAAATCATGCAAAAGATCTGGATGATGAAAATACAGAATTCATCTATAGCGATCGATCAATAAGACGGAAAAAATTTTTACAATTATTTCAACGATTAATTTAAAAAAACAAATTATTTATGAATTGTAGAATTTTTTTTTTTTTGTTGAAAACACACAAGGGGATTTACAAATTTTTTTTTTGTTCTCATAATAATAAATTGCATTATTAAAGATTTCTTGATTAATTATTAAAATTGAAATGAAGAATAACTATTCGAATGTTTCGATTTCGTCTAAAATTTTTTTTTTTTTTGGACACCGCAAAATCAGCACAAAATTCATAAAAATTTTCATGTTTCATGCAAAATTATCTAGACTAGTTTCTTATAATGATATAAAATTCAAATTGGAATGCAACCAAGACCGACGATCGAGAAAATCGAACAAACGAATTGGAAAGAAAGAATATACACAACACGAAAAAAAAGCTTAATAATAAATTATTAGAATAAAACGGGCGTTGATATTGTAAAGTGTGTGAAGCATGTGTGTGTGTGTGTGTGTGTGTGATGGGTGGAAATGATGTCTAAGAAAGAGCGACGTGTTTCTAATCATCAAATTTTCGATTCGGATTTCGTTGAAACAATGCCACCCGAATTTCCGGCAAAAGCTGTTGACTAATCAGCTCTAAACGACTTTCAAGCGTATTAGTAACTTTGATTTTACCAGCTTGGGCATACAATTCAATACCACCACAGCTATGTAAAAAAAAGATGAAAACATTAAGCTAGGATTTGATTTAAATTTGATGTTACTTACGTATCTGATGAAAGATAACGATCTTTATCGATTTTGATCGCAACATTGCGTTTGGTGGCAGCATTATATTCTTTTTTAACAGAATCCAATAAAGACTCTACCAAGGTCAAATCTTGTTTACGGCAGCAGATGACAACTTCTGATTCGACCAAACGGAACACACTTTGGGCAATTAATTTTTGCATTACTTTTTTGTATAGTTCATTATCTTTGGTCACTTCTGCCAATTTTTGTCGCGCTTCTAACAGAACATTTTTGATTAAATCTTCACGTTGTTTCAAAACTCGAAGCCGTGATTGATTTTGAAGATGAGAATTATAACTACGAACAAAAAAAAAAAAATTAAGCAACGTATAATGAGCACTGATTATTATTAAACTTACATTCTTCGTTTTAATTCAACTTGTTTTTCTTTTTTCTCGAAAAATTCAATAATCTTTAACCGTTGTTCTTGTACGAGACGACCTTTTTCAATGTTGAATTCTTCTTCAGCTTTGGCTTCGATTTCTTCGGCTTTTTCATTTGCTTCTTGTTCAATAAAAGCAACCATGTGCTTAATCTTTTTCATTTTCAAACGAATAAATTGACAATGGACAATTAACATGTACTCAAGTTAATTCATGTACGAAAAAAAAATCATACCTGTTTTTGGACATCAGCTTCACCTAAAGCCATTTTGATAATTCGTTTGCTAACAACAACAACAACAAAAAATTGAAATATTGGTCAAACACCAAAGATTTAGTGGATGAAAAATGTTAACTATGAAAATAATTACTGGGCGTTATAATCACTATCGATATTGATAATAACGATGATGATCAATTGGACTAAAAACCGAGAGTGATGATATATCACTGACATCATCATCATCATCATCATCAATAGTATAAATCAATGGTAGCAGCATCGTTAAAAGTCACGACCACAGCTACAATATAACCGGTTGTCCATTCATTTATTCCATATTTTTTAGAGATAATTTCGGGCTTCCAAATCCTGGAATAAATTCTTATCATTGATAGAATTGAGATTTAACAACTAATTGCAATTGAATTTGATTTTGAAATTAAATTCTTGATTAATTCAAAAAAAAAGATTCTTTTTCGTATTTGAAAATTGCCACTACGAATGTAACGTCATTTTTGATATGACTGTAAAGAGTAGTGGCTCAGCGGCTCATGTTCATAAATTGCCAGACACAGCAAAGGACAAACATTGTTGCCGTTGTGAGTTCTGATCAAGGTAAGTTAAGATTTTTGCTATCATCCAAATTTCGAATTTCTGAAACGTTTTGTTTTTTCCATTATCAAGATAAAGCCATCTAAACTTTGGAAAAAAATGTATAACATTCGTATGTTTCAACGTTTGGGACGTTTGGTTTCAAATCCAAATGTTCAATTACAAACCCGTCGAACATTGTATCCTCATTATATTAAATACATGGCAGTGAATGTTGGTCCAAAATCAATCGGTATCGTTGAAAAAACTATTGTCTATCTGGGATTTTTGTTTGGAATTCTTGGGCCAGCAACATACATTATGTATGATGTGGGCAAAAAACGTCCAGATAATAAACGATAGAATGAATGAATGTATCAAAAGAAAAAAAAAATTATAATCGCAATTCAATTCTATTTGAATCGATCAATTTGTCTGTCTTGTTAGAATTTTTATTTGCCCATAAATTTGAATACGATGTATAAATAAATCAGTAATGATCTATAGATTTTGAAAAAAAGTTATTTAATTTCATCAAAAAAAAAAAAATTATCAGGTTCCATATTTATTCATTCATTTCATTTATGAATGAATCCAATGAATCCTTGGACTGGTGGTGGTAGTAGTAGTATTTGAAACAATTAGTGCGACTACTTTGATGTTGAAATATATAAACACACATTAAATTGGTAGTGGTATACAAAATTGTACTATTTGTGATATATATACATTTTTAGTGATTGAATCGTATCAAAATAAATTGTGTTGGAAGTTTTTGGAACGATTGCATTTATCATCATAATAATAACATAATCGATTGATGATTTCTTTTAGATCAATATGGTAGTTGTAATATGACAAATGACAAACATCGTCATCATCATCAATAAATAGAAATTAAATTAAATAAAAATATATTTTGTATCACGAATTTTCTACAAAGTTCTTGTTATTATCATTCATGTAGTCGTACTGATTACGAATACAAGATGAGCGAAACCAAACCGAAAGAATTGTTAAGTCAAACAATAAATGGTGATGATCAAAATGTTAATCCTGATTTAAATTCATCTGAATCAACAACAAATGATCAAAGTGTTAAGCAAAAAATGCCAAACGTACAAAATGTAAACGGACATTCCGTTGTTCTTGGACAACTACCAGATGATTTTCTTCGTCTTGATTCTGCATCGGCAACGAATCAACGAACTTGTAACCAGATTGAACTTGACGAAGAATTGGCTGCATCACTTCAACGACAATATGATTCACAAGCATTGGCACAACAACGTAACGTAGCCAATTGGAATTCCAATTATCGTGCTTATTTGTCCATAACGTTTGTTGAAGCTCATTTGGTCAAAAATTATGGCCTGATGAGCATGAGTCCATATGTTCGAATTCGAGTTGGCAATACCATCTATGAAACAAGAACCAGTACTCGAGGTGGAAAGAATCCAAAATGGAATGAAACTTGTCGTTGGTAAGTTTTTTTTGTTTATAAAGCTAAATGGTATAAGATTTATCTAATTTGAATAATTTTAGTTATTTACCAATCGGATGTGATACCATCGCAATAGAATTGTATGATGATTGCCTATTTACGCAGGATGAATTAATTGCATGGGCAACGTACAAAGTACCTGAAAATTTTCTACGATTCACGACAGAAACACCTGAGCATTCATTTGAGGAGAAAATTGTCTTGTCAGGCAAACAAGGTGAAGGATTGGAAGGTGAATTGTTTATTTCTGTCAATTCTAAGGTAAGTTATTATTTTTTTTTTGTTACCATATTCATGCTATAACCTGATTCTCATTGATTCGAATACAGCCTGTGACGGCCGAAACATTGCGTACATACATGACTGCACCTATTTACCATTCACATTTGAACGCACCCGGAATGCTTATTTCCGGTCCACCAATACTTGCGGCTCCATTGATTGTTCATCAAAGTCCCGTTCCGGCAACCACTTTATTACCACCATCATCTCGACAGCCGCAGCAACAAGTTGCTGCCCAACCACAGCAACCTATACAAATACGTGATGAAGATGTTCAAACATTAAAGGAAATGTTTCCTAAAATTGAAATCGATGTAATCAAATCTGTATTACAAACTGAACGCGGTAATCTTGAACGTTCAATTACCAATCTGCTGGAATTAAATTCAACTACTTAAACATTACATATTACTTCCTTTTCGACTACATCTTTTGTGCAACAAACATATTTATCTTGATACTAATTCACTTTTTCCTTTTTAAAAAACGAAAGCAAATCTTTTAATTATTGTTATGTTTCGCTTAAATGTTTTTTTTAATAATAATCAATAAATCGTTGCAATCATCATTGATTCCAATACATGAATTGATGAATGAAAAAAATTCATCTTACATGATAAGGTCAGCGAACTGAACGAAAAAAAAAAATTCTTAATAATGATAAATGTTATATAATGAAAATTCAAAATTCATAGATGATAAGATCCCTTGATGATGATGGTAAGTGGTCCGTAAAAAATTCGATTAATTATCCGTTAGCTACAGACATGAAATTTTTTGTTGATCCGATACGTTTTTGTTCTTAATTATATCCGAATTAATAATATTATTATTATTAATCATCGGAGCTAAAATTGTTGACGAACGTTTTTCAAAATAATCAACATTATCAACAAGACATTCGGTCAATTCGGATAGATCTTGTTTACATTTTTCACGTAAACGATTTTCTTGACGAAATTGTGACAATACAAGATTTCTTTGATTCATATAATACAATAGTTTTCCATATAATTTCGGTATTAAACGATCAGCTAAATTTACTCGTATACGAAGTTGTTCAATTTCCGCACCATCTCCATTTGACATTTTCCCTCTAGTAATTGGTCCACAAAAAGATTTATCTCGTTCTTTTATGCCATCATAATTCTGGTCATGGTTATGATTTTCTTGATTATGATGACAAGTATGATGATGTTTAAGACTATGATCATTTTGATGAAAATAATTATGATTATTATTAGGATTGTAAGACGAAGATGAATTCCTAGTAATGTCGTTGTCCTTAGATTTGGATGAATGTTGTGATTGTGATGATGTTGATGATCCGATTGACATTGCCGGTAACGATGAGTTCATTGAGCCACTACTACTACTACTCATTCTCATCATCATCACCATTCTTTGTTGTTCATCATCATTTGTTCCTGCCATTGATGTATGTTCACTGTTATCAATATTATTTGTTTGATCCATATCATAATCTAGATCCGATAATGTCAACAATGATTGCATATCCGTTTGTGATGGTATTAGATCCGTACTACAACCACTATCATTATCATGTCGACATGAATCACAAATTTCTTCACAATAAACAACATTTTCATTGTTTGTGTTTTGTCTATTGGTCAAATGATGATCATTTTTCACATTATTTGCCATTTCAATAGTCATAGTCTTTGAATCTAAATTGAAAAATGAATTTATCATTCGTTCTTCTTCAAGTGAACAATCATTTCTTTCATTATGTTGATCACTACTGCTATGTTTTTCCATTTCATCATTTAACACCATTGAAGTATTATTTTTAGTCATCGATGTTGTTGTTGTTGTTGTTGTTGTAGAATAATATTTGTCATGAATCAATTCTTGAATATCATCACCATCATCATGCATCATATTCATCATCATCATCAACATTGATGTTGTTTGGCTTCCGACATCACTGCCACCACCACCACCACCACAACCACCACTTTCATTCAACGGATCACGATCAACATTTGGACTTAGACAAAGCGATGATGATGATGTGGATGATATTGATGGTGAATCCATATGATAACTGCTACTACTATTAGAGAAGCTATTATTATAATTATAATTTCGTTCAACATTTTCGGTCCGTTGATTGTATGATAATTTCCGGTTACTATAATTATTATGGCGCCATTCATTCAACATTAATGGAATGCCATTACGACAGTTTAATAGTGAATTTAATTCACGAATAATTTCATTCTCTTTTCTTAGCTGCTGATTTTCCATTTCGAATTGTTGTATTTTTTTATCAATTAATTTGACCAGATTCATAAAACGCATTTCACTATTAAGATTATGTAGGCAATTCGTCGATGATGATGATGATGATGATTCTTTATTTGTTAACCAATGTGATGTTTGATGTACAACAGATGACCAAAGATGGCCGAATGACCAACATGGTGATTGTAATGGATTGGATGAAATATTTTCTGGATGATTATATAATTGATCACAATATGGACCATGACATAGTTTAAATTCCAATAAACGCATATCACAAGCACAACATTCACAACAATGTTGTTGAACAAAATTTTTCAAACACAATTCATGTGATTCTAATGAAAGCATCACTTCTTCAGTACGGGCTGCTGTATTCTCTAAATTTCGTCGTAATTCATTGATACGGTTAGCTGATTCTTGTTTAATTTCCATTATATTCGATACAAGACATTCATTTTGATCAAGTAAATCTTTGACCATATTACGTAAAAGATTTACATATTTCTATATATTCAAAACGATATAGTGAAAAAAAAGAAAAATTTATTAGTCAAATAATTGAAAAACATAATTAATTCATTATTAATATAACTGAATCCTTATCATACTCACTTGTTGATCTATGCTTGCTATTAATGAATCGTCTAATAGCCATTTTTCACATTCTAAACGATATTGGTTAAATAAATCATCACAATCGGATAACTGTTGTTGTTGTTGTTGTTGTTGATTTTGGTCACTGTGTTCCATTTCATTATTATTATCATCACCATCATCATCAAAATCATCAATACAAGAATTCAAACTAGACAATGATGATTGTCCACCAGTATTGGTAATTTTCATTGCCATCGTTGCTATTGGATTCATAATAATACGTAATAATTTGAATTCATATAAAAAACTATCGATTTGTTTTGATGTAATCAAAAAAAAAATGTATACAATAAACAACACGTATGGAAAATGGAAAAAAAACAAAAATCCACTACCATTCAACCAATAATTTGAAAAATAAACATGATGGCAATCATCATCATCATCATCACACACACATGTACATGAACCAAAAAATTAGGACAATATTTGACATGAAAAACTTGAAGCAAAACGACAAAACAATAACACTGTTAATTCATATATAAATTGATGATGAATGATAATAATTAAAAAATGATGAGCATAATCATCATCAATGGATAAAACGTGATAATAATCGAACGAATGGATGGATGGATGAATAAATATCTGAGAAGAATTTTTTTTTGTTTGGTTTTTACGATTTATTTATCTATATATAAAAGTATGAGTCAAACAATTTGTCATAGTCACACACACACACATACACACTGATGTTATCGGTTGTACAAAAAAAAAAATTGATAATTGCCAATGGCAATGTTGTGAATGTTGGATGATAACAAGAATTTTTTTTTTTTTGTTAAAGGAGAAAACAAGCAACATCAAACAAGTATTCCGGTGTCGTTACGGATGTCCAAATGTGTGCAATCAAATGGAATATATCAAATAACAGGCTGATGGATGATATAACAGAAAACAACAACAACAACCAGACACAAATAAAACATCAATGGATCAATACGATATGGTCATTATAGATAGTTTATATTATGGATGACACGGCAAAATCTATGATGATGGTGATGATCATGATGATGGTAAAATTTCATTTTTTCTTAATCCATCAGTGTCATATCGTCAAAATGATGAAATAAAATAAAATTACTTTAGATATAATCTACATTAAAATATAAAACAAAAAAAACAATGAAATATGAGCAAGGGTGAAAAAAAAAATTCATCCGGCTCATCCAAAAATGTGTGTGATCATAAGAAACGAAAATAAAAATAAAAACGTGGAATATGATGACTTGAAGAATCGTAATATAAATCTGTCTGCGTGTGTGTTGAGCAATATTATTAGGATTTTTTTTCTTCTTTTTGATGAAATAGTTGAAAGTGTTTAGCTATATATGATTGTTGCAATGCAATTTCGATGAACCACCATCTTGATAATGATGATGAAGATTTTTTTTTTATCACCACAAGAACAAAAATATACAGAAAAATTTTTTTTTTTTTATAAATCACAAACTACCACCACCACCACCACCACCACCATCATCATCATCATCGAAGGATGTCGCATTGAAAGAAAATATTCATACATGTACATGATGCATATGTCAACCAACAACGGAACTCTCATAAGATGATGATCGTCTATGATCGTTCATGTATGTATACATTTAAATTCACAAATGTAAATGATAAACGAAATTGAATGATGGATAGAATCCAAATGGCGTCGAATCATTATTGAGTTGAAATTTTGATTTTACCGTTATATTACTATATGACATCGTCGGGTGCCGATGATGATGACAATAATAAAATTATTTATTATTTTTTTTCTGAATCAATTTTTTTTTTGTTTTGTTTCTGAAAGAGACTAAAAAGTGAGAAGAAAAAATCTTGGCAGTTAACGGGAGAGACAGAAAAAAAAGTTATCACGGTGTAGAAGAATAAAAACAGAGAACAACTACAATAACAACAACATGGCAAAATGATTCAAGTCACGATGATGATGATGATCATCATCATTATTACGACTTTACGACTTTTGACATTGATCTCATTTCTCTCTCCCTATCTTTTTCTCTCTACAACTTGTTGATGATAATTTTTCAATTTTCAACATTTATTTGGCGCCAATTTTTTCTTTTTTTTCCTGCAAAATGAGATTTTGTTTTTTGTAGAAGAAAAAGAACAGATAATTCAATGACACTGAACAAGAAAATTATTTCAAACAAAAAAAAAACAAAAATGAATGACACCTGTTGTCGATAGTGGGATAATGATTTTTTTTTCTTACATTCCATTTTGGATCGATTATAGAGAGAATTGATGTTGATGATTATTTGAATTTTTCAACAACAACAACAACAACGATGATGATGATATCCCACATTGAATATTTTGACAATTATCATGATGATGATGATGATGATGATGATGATAATGATAACGACAGTTTAAATTTGGTCTTTTCATATCTTCTTTTTCTGCAATTTATCACACACACACACATTATTTACAGTTTTTTTCTTGGATTCAAGGTTCATTGAATGTGATAAAATCAATTTTCGTTTTCTTTTTTTTTCTTCATTCCAAAAGTCAAAAGTCATCAATTTTTTTTTGCAAATCAAAAAAAAAACATCCATCTTCATCATCATCATCATCATAATAATGATGATTGATGGAAAAAAAAGTGTAAAAATGAATTTGATGAATTGAAAATAATATGATGATGATATGATGATAAAAAAAACCTTGACATTTGATGAATGTAAAAATCATTTTAACACTTTAATGACAATAAATATAACTACTATGAATGAATAAAATGTGTGAAATGTAAATCAAACATCATCATCATCATTATCATTATCATTAGATGAATGTTGTTGAAAAATTTTGAAAATTTTTTTCAACTAATTACATATAGTCATCATTCATTCATTCATTCATTCATTAACCCATTGACAATCAGAATTTTTATTTTTTTTTTTTGTTTAATGAATATCATTGTACAGGATGGAAAAAAATGAACATCCTATTGTTTGTTGGATGTTTGCATATTTATTATCCTCAAAAGTCATATAGAGACGAAATGAGAAAATGAAAGTTTTCATTTTCTATGAACAAACAAACAAACAAAAAAAAAAATAAAAATCAAACCATGTGATTTGATGATACATTACATACGAATATCATCATCAACATCATCATCAAGAGCTATATTTAGCCTGTTGTTGTTGTTGAATTATTATTTCCACATTCCAACAAAATGAGCGAAAATTTTGTCTATGAAATATGAAAAAAAAACATATACCATGAATATACGACAATGATGATGATATCATCATCATCATATCATCCGGATAATTATATTCTCGAAAACAAAGTAGTTAGGCATCACCAAGTAATTTTTTTTTTAAGGAAACAAAATCTTTTCCACTTCAATGTTAATAATTAGACTTTTATTGTCAAATTTTTTTTGTTGTTGTTGTTGTTGGTCCGCTACCTATTGTAGTTTTTCATTCATATTCAATTCATTGTTTGTTTTGATTTCTGTAACAGTACAGAAACAAGAAACAAGCACAGAGAGAGAGAGAGATACAGGAAAATAATCTAAATATACAAAAAAAAAAGAAATTAAATTATTTTTGTCATCATCATCATCAATTGATGTGTTGCGAAATTTTTTTCTACAAACAAACAAACAGAAAAAAAACAATGTGAGAAACATACACACACACACCTACAATAAACAAAGTTTCACAAGTTAATTGTTGTTATGAAATATAAAAAAAAATTTGTTGTTGTTGTTGTTGTTGTTCCAAAATAGCAGTGAATGAAAAAAAAAAAAAAAATTCAGGAAAAAAAACCACCTTCGCATGACAATGTTATTTTTTTTTTCCTTTCCATTCAATCATCTTCATATATGTTGATGTTTAATTTAATGATAATTTAACACAACAGATATGTGGACAAATGTGGAGCAATGTGGACATACACACATCAATCAATCATCAATGAATTTTTGATTGAAGATTTTATCATAATAACAACATGAATATGAATAGGAATAGTTAAAAGGATGAAAAATATATTTTCACACACACACACACCACTTTTAACCATCGTCATCATCATCATGATCACTACCAACACCTACACCTCCTAATTAGTCATCATCATCATGAATATTTTTCTGGGTTCCAAGTGTGAATGATGAAACAAAAACCTTGAGAAATTTTTTTTTTTTTTTTTTTTTTTTTTTGAAGTGAAAGAAATGAGATTGGATATTTGTGCATGTGTGTGTGTGTGTGTGTGTAGGTGAGTGGTGGGAGGAGGTAGGAGTGACAATTCTTTGATAATGAATGATAATTGTAAATATTGCAATTACATTGCTTGGCCACCGTTAATAAACGGCAATGACCAGTGTCGATTGTGTGTGTGTACATGTGTGAAGTACAATAACAACAACAAATAACAAAAAAAAAAATTGACAAAATGATAAAAATTAGAAAAAAAAGTAGAAAATTATTAACAAACATAAAATTCAACTAAATCCATAAATTACGCCTACGCAAACAGCAAACAAAAAAAAACTGTCACGATAAATAGCATCAAAAGCCGAAAATGAAAGTCAATCATTCATGATGTGAATGAATGAGAAAAGATAACTTTCACAGAAGCTGATTAGAAAACGGATTTTGTTGTTGTTGTTGTTGTTGTTGTGTCTTGAAACAAATTAATCAAGATCAACAAATGTGATTATCCAAAACGAAAAAAAAATTGAAACAATTAATGGATTAATCATTTCGTTATCATATTAACAGGGCAAAATCTCAGAATTTTTTCGCTCCGAAAAAACTAGATTTCAGAGATGGCACCGTATGTATTCGAAATTTCATTTTGTTCTGACCTGTTGATGACAATAATGAAAATTCGAATTCAATTAACAACAGTAAATTAATGATGATGAGAAAATTCATTTTCCATAATTTATGATAATGATGATGATAAAATCTATCTGTCCGTTTATCTTTATGTTTGAAGCATGATGATGATTATTTTGTTCTCATGTTTATACATAAGATTCGAATTCAAAAACAAAATTTGGATGTAAAGTCTTTGATTTTCATTATTTTCCGTCGCATTTTCTTGATGATGATGGTGATGATAATAATAACTTGACCACACACATAGGGCGAGTATGTCCAAATTTTTGGAACGAATAATTTTTTTGTTGTTGTTGTTGCTCTAAATTCCATCGAAACGGATGGATTACATTTAGCGGTGGATAACGATGGTGGTGGTGGTGGTGGTGGATAATCTAAATATTATAAATGATTAATTTTTTTCTATTCGAAAAAATTATATTTGAAACAAGAAAGAAAAACCCCGCCAACGAACAATTTGTAACTAGAACACGAGCAATCTTGTTGAATCAAATTTCAGAAAAAGAAAGTTTTGAAAAAAACAGAATTTTTTGTTGTCAAGAAATTACATACCAGGATTTCGTCATTATAATGAATGAGATTTTGTTATGGTTTTCTATGTATAGTTGCTGATGTAAATATCGTTTGTTCCACTATTATGGATCGTTGTCAATAAATTGATCAATCAATCAATTTTTCGCTCTTTAAAAATTGAGTCATTGTATGACTAAAATGTTTTTTTGAATGATACAAACTTGACTCATTGCTCAATATTGACGCGTTGGTGTGTTGGAAGAAACACGGATGCGGCTGGACATATTTGGTCATCGAAAACATTGATCCATTTTTCATCATCATCATCATGATCATCAACAATAATAACAAGCATCCTTGACGTCGATAATTTTCGTATGTAATTACGTGAATAAAAAAAAAAATATTTGAAAATATGAAAAATTACAATAAAAAAAAATCGAATAAACTATTTTCAAGAAAAACGGAATAATTATTTCTAAACAATCGATGATTAATTACAAAATAATCGATTGTTTTTTGATATTTCGAATTTTATTTGTTAGTGAATTTTAATCGAAAAAAAAATATATATCTTCAAATTCAAATCACAAAAAAGTCAATTTGAGAAATAATAAATTGTGTCTTTATCTTTATGTGTAAATGTATGTTGTGGATGTGTTTCTATGAAATACCATCTCGGATGGTTAAATTTTTGATTCATTTTCTAAATTTCTCATATTAATTTTAACAATGACAATAAAGATGACCAACAACATAACAATGGGTTTTTCTGAATACAAAAAAAAACATCAGGAAAAATTTTGATTTGAATTTGAATGTTCAATAATCGATATATGGATGATTGGTGAAAATCATGCACACACACATACACAAACAAGGATAGAGAATTTGGAACGGAATCGTTATTGTTAGTTTTTGAAACATTCGAACAACGGATATTTCAAAGTGTGGGTGTGTGCGTGTGTATCTCTCCAAATACTAAAATAAAATTGATTGAAAATTGAAAACAATGTGTGTGTGTAACTATAAAAAAAAAGTCATGTGTAATAATATTAATATAACAACAGTAATAACATGATGATTCCAACAATAACAAATTATGCAAATTAATTTTTTTGTAACAAAAAAATAGAAACACGTTGTATATGCGAAATGTGAAAAAACAAAACAAAACAAAACAGAAAAAAAACTAAAAAAAATGCTTTGGTTTTTGCAATAGTGGACGAATTGCTGGGCGCCGTGTGTATTCTGTTCTAAGAAAAAAAAAATTTTCTACAATTTTTTATCATCATTTCGTAAAACTTTTGAAAAATTTTCTCTCATTCGTAATTGTTTTGTTTGTTGTTGTTGTTGTTGATGATGATGATGATGATGATGATAATGTTTAAAATCATTGCTATTGTTGTCGTTTGATTTATGAAATTTTCCAATTAAATATTCTGCAACACCCAAATAATAAACTGTTTGTGCAATACCGAATAATGGTGCAATAACCATTACACGACAACCGGCTCCTTTGAAAAATGCTTTAATACCTTCATCACGCCAAATTCTAATAAATGCATCACGTATTCCAGAATAATGTTGTTCATGTTCAGCTCTTTTTAATGTTTGTAATCGTGTTTTAATCACATCTATAGGATTAACAGCAGATGCAGCTATTCCTCCAGAAACACAACCAGCAAGAAATGATGCCCAGAATACCGTTTCACCACCACCACCACCGCCATTATTTGAAGTGGTTTTTGGTCCCAATTTGTTTAAATTAGCAAACATTGGAAAATAGATTGCCGAGAATGTTACATCTCTGACCATTGTGGCTGCCGTACCACGATATAAACCAAAAATTCCTTTTGTTCGTATCAGGTTCAATGCAATTCGTGTGGCCGATTGACGTTCCTGAATGCCAGCTGTTTGTAAGCGGCCAGCATCTTGTAATTGTATTTTAAGCAATTCCATTGGTGTAGTTACAACAATTTGACAAAGACCAGCTAAACTTCCGGCAATCATTTCTCGGTGTAATGTTATATTGCTATATTGATAATATAGAAAAAAAATCAGTAATGATAAAATGTTGGAAAGAAAAAGAAAAACAAATCTTACCCAGAACGATCAGAAAGTTGGTGACGAAAAAAATCATTTGCCGTCAATTTGATTGCCTTTTCCGGTGTTATCAATAGAATATTGACAGATGATCCACGATACATTCCGAAAAAACCTTCTTTTGCATAAGTTTTTCGAAAACAATCGGCCCTGATGAAAATGAATGCAAAAATGATGAGTTAATCAGATTCATGATGAATAAAAAAAAAATTCAAATTTGTAACCATACATTGATTTATATTGTGGAATTTCTTTTGGTTTAATACTTTGTGATTGTAGCCGTGTTTTTACTGGATACAAATCAGCGGCATTACATCATCATTATCATTATTTTGATAAGAAAAAAAAATTTGTCATACAAAAAACAAATATTATATAGATATAGATATACATTGGTGGTATTAATACTGTAAATATTTGTCAGGAAAAAATTTTCTTTTTAACAATTATAATAAACGAAAATAAACATACCTAGATCAATAGGAAAAACACATGTAACACCAATAATGCCGGCAATACCTCCATTGATAATTTTTGGTATTAATCTATACGATTAGACAAACATTAGATGAATGATTGAATTCATTATGGAAATAAAAACAAAAACTTACGGAAAATTCGGCTTAACAGATGGTATTGTCGACAATGGTTTATCCATTGTTTCCATTGCATCCATGATGATGATAATGATGTAATTTTACCAAAAATTTTTTTATTGAAATTTCAATAATTTCAATATAATAATAATAATAAACCTAATTTAATCATATAAATCAAATGAAATGAAATAAATGAATATTTTCAACCATATGAATCGTTTATTGTTGATATACAACATTTTTGTTCGAGTAAAAAACATCAAATTGAAATTGAAATAAAAAAAAAGACGAAAAAAAAAAAATGCACACGTGTTGATCATGAGATAATGTCCTTAAATTTTGTTTTTTATTTTCCTTTTCATTTTTGAATGATGACTATGACAAATTTTTGTTTTGTTTTTTTTGTTTTGTTTTATTACATTCGAACAATGAAAATTTTCTTCATTTTTTTCAGTTCAGTGGTAAAGGAATAATTTATTTTTAACTTTACAAAAATTTTTTTTCTCATTCATCATCATTGCTATGATGATTCTGCTATATATATGTGTGTAGGCGTGTTTAATATATGTCCTAATTATTCTTTAAATCCCCATATCTCTCTCTCTCTGATGACAAAATGATTCTAAAATTTTAATCAGATTAAATAAAAAAAAATAAAAATGATATCGAACCTTTTTTGATGATTGAATGTGTGTGTGTGTATGTGGATGGATGAAATGGCCTGATGTAATTTGAAACGTTTACGTTGTTGATAATATGTAGAACAAAAAAAAATTATTTTTCGTAATTAAAACCTATCGCTATTCGATGAATTGGATTTAGGAATTCATCGAAAATAAAAATCTTTAATCAATCAATCAATAATTGTTGAGAATGAACAGAAAAAAAAATTTTTTTTTTGAAACAATCACTATCACATTTGATTATTATCCATTGATGATTATTGATGATTAAAGAATATATAAATGGCTGTGATTGAATTTCCTGGTGATGATGATTCCATACCTGTTTAAATATATATATCGACAAAATTTCTTTTTTTTGTTTTGATGTTTGTTATTTTTTTGTTTGTTTCGATGATTTATTTTTGAAGGAAAAACAAAATATTTAATTTTTTTTTTTCGTTCAAGATCTTCAGAACATATATGAACAGGTTTTTTCCTTCTTTTTATTATCTCATTATTATTATTATCATCACGATGATTTGACCTCGAATATAATCATTATCAGCCGATATATTTAATTGGTTGGTTGATGATGATGTCATATTTCTCATATCAGCAAATATTTATCATCATCATCATCATCATCATAACTACCATGCTGTTTATATATATGTACTATATTTCAGGCATGCCATCGTTAAGTGATCAAAAAGAAAGAGAAATAGCAACATTGAAAAAAAAGTAAGTATACACACACACACATACACACAAACTAAACAAATGGATTAAATTCATGAGAATTCATCATGATGATGTTATCAAATCTAAACCAAAATTTCGATATAAACAACATCCATAATTAATTAGATTCTATAGTTAAGCAGGCAGATATAATACACATACACATACACTCACACACACACACACACATACACAAAAAACATAGCTCAAAAAATTCTTGCTAAAGAATGAGAATGTATATTATCATTATCAACAATAAGATGGCAGCAGTATGACCATGGATTCAATATTTTTATACCTACTTTATGAACGGTATGAAATGAAGCTCGAGCATTTTTTTCTCTCTTTCTCTCTCTCTCTCATTCATTCATTCAATAATATTTTATCGGCGTCGACACTTGCATGCAATCAGCAGCAACGACTGTGAATTTTTTTTTATGTAGACTTTTCGGCGTGCTATTCGTTTTTGATTTGTTTTCTGTCATCAATTTTTGGTTTTGAAGAAAAATAAAATAAAATTATCATCATGTAACAATTTTTCTCATCGTTAAATTATTGATTTATATTGATAAAAAGCGACGTTTTTTTCATTTTATTGTTTTGAACTTACTCTTCTTTCTACTTGTTTCTAATTTCAATTTTTTTTTTTTTTTTTTGCAAAAAATTTTGGGCGATATTTAACCAATCACACCAATCAAAGATTATGCTAGGCGTATTGCCGAATCTAAATTATGATTCGGTTTTCGGCACATCATTTTTTTTAACAGTACAAACACTGATTTGAATGTAAGTTTGAATTTTCATTTTTAAATTAATTTTTCTTAAAAATTATATATATAAATAATTTAAAATAGAAATAAAATCAACCATAACACCATAAGCATGGATAAATTTACATTGGAACGTGATGATATTGATGCATTGAATGATGAAACATTTGGCTGTGATGTTGGTGAAATCAATGATGATTGGGAAGAAGAACATGAAAAATTTGTGGAAACAACGCATGATAAAAGTTCTGTATTTGTCGATACTGGATCGATTATACATTGTGAACCAAAACATTCGAATTATAGTGGCAGCGCCTTATCTACTATCGGCTTATTGAATAGTTCGATGAATAAACATTCAAATGATGATCTATTATTTCCAAATTGTGAAGATTTAATAGCAAAAAATTTACTGGATGTTGTTAGTGATGAAAATGATATTTTTTGTACCGAATCTGCATCATCATTTTCTTTATATCATTATTTTGATGCCGATGATAATGATGATGAAGACGATGTTGATAATAATGAATTATTTACAAATGGTCTATTTCCAAGATCAAATCGAAATAAATCTTTACTATCAAATAAATCATCATCGCAATTATCATCATTGAAAAAGAAAAGTAAAGCTATGAATATTGATCTTGATTCATTACGGCCACCATCACCATCGATTCTTCCATTTGATCATACATTTATGTCAAGTGTTTGGCGTCCACCATCACCACCAACGGAATCAACACCAATAGCAACTAGTAATAATGTATCACAACAACAACAGCAGCAGCAGCATCATCATCATACACATTCACCAATAAAGAAAAACATTACATCACCGTTATCTGGAATAATTAAATCCAATGATTTCGATATATTCCGTAGTCCAAATTTGGTCATTCGAGCTGAAGATCTTGAAGCAGATTTATCACGAACATCGGATTCATCATCATTGAAATCATCTACACCAAATCGAATTCTCGAACGATCAATACTATTACAATCACCATTCACCACAGCCAATGATAATAATACTAACCATCAAAATCATAAGCAGTTGTCATCATCATTTATGGGGTTAGCAGCTTTATCACTTGGTGGACATTTATTGCCACATCATCAACAGCAGCCTTCGATAAGTACAGCAGTGACCACAATCCCATCATCTAAAACAGTACAACCGCCTCCAGGTTTTAGTACCACTTCATCATTATTAGGTTCAAATAATAATCGTGTACATCCGTTCATGTTGATGAATATGACCGATTCTACATCGAAATCGCCACCACTACAGCCATTGAATCGTAACACATCCAATCAAAATAATAAAATACAGCAACTATCATCACCGATTCGAGGATCGATGCCACCCATGATTGATCCTCGATTAATTCGATCACCACAACAAATGATGAATGTTTTGATGGCACATCAATCACAACAACAACAACAACAACACCAGCCATCACAAACAACGAAAATTCAATTTCCAATACCAGCAAATGTGATTGATCCGATTTTATTTCAACAGCAACGATCCATTATAAATAAATGTATAATTACACCGGCACAAGCTCAACGGTCTTATCATCATAATCAGAATCATCATAATCATCATCAACATTATAATAACAATCATAATAATTATCATCATCATCATCATAGGAATAACAATTATAATCAAGATAGATTTGCCGGTTTCATGACACAACGTGAAAAAGAATGGCTACTAAAAGTGTTTCGATTACAATGCAAAGTTAATGATCCATATGTAGAGGATTATTATGAAGTAAATTATATGTTGAAAAAGAATGCACACAAATTTTGCAAAACAGAAAGAATTAATGATATCTAATACTAATGAAACAAATGGTGTTGGAGGTTCGGATGTAAAAATCATTCAAGATTTACCTAAAATTATCCATCATAATGATAATAATGATATTGATGATAAAAATAATTTGCAGCCAAAAACGGAACAAAATCCACAACAACAACAGGAACCGATTCTTGTGTTACCACAGATGGCCATACCATCGGCAGAAGAAAGCCGTCCTAAGTATATACAATTCGATAAGGCCTTGGGCAAGATTCAAGTGCTGAATTCAAAATGTCCTCGAAAATTAGTTGAACTGAATGAAACTGATCCGTCTATATTTGTCAAATATCAATTGGATCGTAAAAGTCAATATTTGTTAAAAATTGAACGTCTTTATCAACATTTGTTGAATATTGAAGATGAAGATAAACGAATGCCAATATTGCCGGATGATGTTAAACAACAACATCGTGATCATCGTACCGAATTGTGTCAGAAATTATTCAATGGTTTTATTCGTAATATTGTTGGTATAAAAAAAGATGAAAGTCAAAACTTTATTCTCATCAATCGAGTCTTGTTGACATTAAAACGAATGTCGATGGAAATTGATCCCGAATTGTTGGCTATCAATAAAGGTCTATATTTGATTGTACGAAGTTTGGATAAATTTGAAGATGAACAGCATTTAGTTGTATTGACAAGTTCATTATTACGATCAAGTTGTTTTGAGATGCTAAAAAAATTGGAACAAAAAAATACAAGTATGAATCTGGTAAACATGTTGGTGAAAGCGATTGGTCGAATTAAAATGGCTAAATCCTTGATCTATTTGGTATCGTTAATTGATGATTCCAAAATTTTCACCAATGTAGATAATAAGGTGAATTTTTTTAGGAATTTTTCTTTGTTGTTTATATATTGATTGGTATTTTTTGAACAAAAACAGAATGGAACAAGTTTATTGATTGGCCTTTTCAAACAATATGAGCTTGCCGAAGACAAACTTTTGTTCATCTATTTTTGGTGAGTTTTTTTTTCGTTGAGGTGTTTTATCCATGTATTTAATAATCAAATTTAAAATTTCATAGGAAACTATTCGTACAAACGTTGATTAAATTGATTCCTGAAACAGAAGATTCATATGATTCATGTAGAATACATTTGAACTATTTACAACAGCTTTAATTGAAGAAATGAAGAAGAAAATTGATTTTTTTTCAATCATGGCTGCCATTGTTTTTTTTTCGAAATGGATACTTGAAATTATCATCAATCAATATATATTATTCTGTCTGATTATAAGAACGAATAGAAAGTCTGTAATTATGAGTTGTATCAAAAAAAAAAAAAAATGAAAAAAAGTGTGATATATACTTTAATAATAAAAATCTACTTTCTTTCATTTTCATCATCGTTCCAGAATTAACATCATGTTCTCTCGCCCCCTCCATCAAATGAATTGAATTTGAGATTATCACAAAACACACACACACACACTAAATTCATGATAACATTAATATAATAATATTAAAAGAATTTAATTATAAAAAAAAGAAAATATTATTCAGAATTTTATATATTCTAATTCAATTGCAAAAATAAATGACCAAAATGAAAATTTTTTATTCTTATACCGATCGTTGATAGATGGCGCCAGTAGATTCATGAAATTTTTTGAAATTTTTTTTTTTACAAAAAATTTTTTTGTGATTGATTTACTTAATGTGGTTGTATATGTTTGTACAGCAAAAAAAAAAAAAAAAAAATGAGCGCGCATTATGTTCGATTGCCTTAAAGCAATCAATGATGATGATTATGATTTTTTTGTGTATACGAATTTCCAATTTAATTTAAAATTATTATTATTGCTCTCCTTGAAATGTGTATGTGAAAAACGATGAATGTGATTTTGCCATTTGGGAAATATTTTTATTCAGTTTTTTTCAGTTTTGATCTATTAAAGTTCCTGAAACATGCACACACAAATATAGAAAATTCATCTGGATTCATTCACATTTACGATTGATTGATTGTATTCGATTTTTAGGTTCAAGGTTCGATTGTTCAAATATTATTCGATTCAATTCCATTCATTCCATGTAGCGAGAGTGAGTGAAAAAGCACTCGTTCACCAATTGATAATCTGATTATCGATGCGATTATTATTATCATTTGATATCTGAATAGATGAATTTCTAGTTTAGATATTAAATTCAATTGATAATCATAAATGGGCCCTTGCGGTTATATGGTTGTTGTTGTTGTTGTTGCTGTTTTAACATGGTTATGTTCTATCGATTATTTTTTTGGGAAAAAAATTCACAAATTCTCCAATCAGAATTGGGATTTTGAGATCTTTTTTTTCTCTTTCAGCGATATTTCTCGTTATTTTGCGTGATTTAATTTGTTCACACACACACACACACAAGTGACAGAGAAAAAACCAGGTTTTTCATTTCAACATTTTTTTTCACACTTATTCTTCTGATTTTTCTGTCTGATGATGTTGAAATATATGGACACAAAATGGATTGATCCAGCCAAAAATTCAAGATTTGATTCATACCGATGTTATAAAGTGGTACTGACGTCACAAATTTGCTTGTGATTACCGCGAAGGGTTAACAAAAATTTTTAATATCCTTATATATGGGAGTGTTTAAATTTGAAATTACAAAAAAAATTTCATGCTCAAAAAAAATGAATGATGGAATCAATTTGATCCACAACACAGTAGCTATGGGGGAAAAATCCTTTACCCAGTAATAATAATAAAGGCGATCCGCATTAAAGCCACTAATTGAACTTTTTTTTTCCTTTGGAAATATCGTTTTTTTTCCAATTTATAGATCTTTTATATGAATCGAAATGAAGCAATAAATTTTTCTTTAGAAACATATTGCTTTTACAAAAGGAAAGGAAAAAAAAGAGAAAAGTTTCATTTCATTTCATTTCAATTAATTTATTTTTTTCAAATCTTAAATGAAAAAAAAACAAAAAATGACTGAACTCTCCATGGAGTTCCGGTGTCGTATTCTACCATTTTCTAATATTAATTATTCGAATCAACCATTTCTCTCCAAAATGTTACTATGAATGATTGTGGGCCGATTTTTTCAATTTAAAATTTTCTTCATCATTTCATATTCAATGTTCATCATCATCATCATCAGTTTGTTTCCACTTTTCAATTCTTGTAATTGCTTTTTGAAATTATTTTCTACAGTCTATAGTTTAATTCAAATCAATAATCGAAAAGTTATTTTCGAAATTTTTTTTTCTTTGTTTTCCATATAAATCAAATTTCAAAAAAAAAAGTTTCAATTCCAACTCAAACAAAGAACAAATAAACGATTTTGTTCTATACACAAAGAATATTGATAATCGATCCGGAATTGAATGAATAGAATTTTTTTTAAGAAAAATAAAAAAAATCTGTTCCATGTCAAAAGTCAATACAATGATTGTGATGGCTGTATTTGTTTTGCGAACGAATGATGATGATGATGATGAAAGTATCATCTTCACAATCATCATTCATTCATTTTGAACCATATTAAAATCGCTTGAATAAAACCAAATGAGAAGAATAAAATCAAAAATTTTTCAAGAATTACAAAGACATCCACACCCACACCACACACACACACACACACACACACACATCTGTTTGAATTGATAGAAAAAAAACGAAGAATTACAGTGCAAAAAACCATGAAAAGCATTCAAGCCTGCAATCACGCACACACACACACACACACACACACACAATTCAGCATTCTCAATTTGTGAATATTGATTTCAAAGAATAAAATGAAAAAAAAACCAAATTTAAAATTCTCTTGTTCATTCTATGAATAATGTACGGCACTTTCGTCTTCTTCTTCTTCTTCTTTTCTCTTTTATATTTGATATTTATTTATATCGATATATGATGATGACATTCGATAATATAAACACACAGAATCACACCCACTTGAGACATATTCGTACAAAAAAAAGAATAAGAATAAAATTGAAACTTTTGTTCCAAAACATGATTCATATATGAAACCAAGAAAAAAAATATTCTTCAAAAAATTCAATGAAACTGTTTCCCTAAAACACCATTGTTCTTACCGATGAATCTCACCAATTTTGATGCAGATAATGATGAGAAAGAATTGTGTGAAAGTTTAAATTCGAGAATAATTCTTGGTTCATTTCAAAAACATTGTGAATTGTTAACATCATCAGTGAACCGTTTTAATAAATTCAAAATAAATGTAATATATCATTTTCATCAGATATTGTTCCGACATCTATGAACGGTTTGTTCCTATTATACCTCTATTTTTTGTTTTGTTTTCTTTTCATTCTTGCTCATATTTTCTCGACTAGAAAAAAAAAGTTCGAAACTGATTTGATTTATAATGATAAAATGATAAAATCGAATTTCGAAAACACGATGATGAAGAAAATTTTCGAATCTCTAAAAAACACATTGCCGTTTAAATTTCATTTTCGATTTTGATTTGGTTCAATTGATTCAGTTGAATTTGATTATTATGCTAGATTGGAAGGAAGAAAATCAAAATCTATTGGACAACATTCTTTGGTCAGATGAATCCATATTTCATGTTGGTGGCTTTGTTAATCGACACAATTGTCATTATTGGGGAAGTGCCAGTCCATCGGCTACAATAGAAAGAGTTCAAATTTCCCGAAAGTGACTGTCTGGTATGGAATGACATCGACAAAACTAGTAGGACCGTATCTTATTCGGGACACAAGGAACAGTGAAAGATATTTAAAGATGCTGACCGAATTTTCCCCATCATTTCGGAATGGAGTAACAGCAAGGAGTTAATTTTTATGCAAGATGGCGCGCCCTCACATTATGCTAAAGTGGTCAGAGATTGGCTTGATGGTCAATTTCCTGGCCGGTGGATGGGAAGACGTGGGCCAACGGATTCAGAATTCAGATTCCCGGATAAAAAACAAAAAATTGTCATTATCGTCATCATTATCATTGTTGTAGTTTGTTCAAGAATAAATGAATGAATAAATGAAAAATAAAACAAAACAAACCTCTAACTATGAATGAAACTTGAATACTGGCCTAAAAAAAAAATGTGAAACGATCGTATGTGGAACTTTTTTTTGATGGAATATTTGCCAATATGCACACACTATTCCATTATTTAGCCATGCAGCAATTGTTGCAGTAACTCTAAGTAAAAGCAAATATTTACATTCACCACATTTCACATATATAACTATATTTCTTACTATATTCGTCTTTTTTTTCTATTTCCAGAATAGAAAAATTTTCTATATTCTATATTCTTCTTCGTTTATCATTTCTTCTGTTATACAACATGTATCCTCAGGACTACTGTGATGACTTTTTTTTTCTTCTTTATACATGTTGTGAAAATGTTGTTTGAAATGATGGCTTCACTGTCATATAACCATACACACACACACACACACATTGAATTGCTTAATATTACGTGATGGTTCGTTTTTCGGTAATTCGATTCTGTCCGTTTTTCTCTCTCTCTGTCTCTATGTGTGTGTGTGTAAGTGTCAACGAAAAAAAAATTCTGAAACTATAGAATCATTCTTTGATGTGACACGAAATGTGTCAAAGCCATTTAACCAACAAACATACACATGAACTATAAACTTAACAAATTCTTTGTTTGTTTGTTTGTTTGTCTAGCGTTGACTCTTTTCTCACCATCACTTTTTTTCAGTGCCATTTTGGATTTTTTTTTTCTTTCATAACATCCCAACACATACACACACAGATCAAACATGAATTTTTTTCCCTTTGTTTCTCATTATTACCATTTTACTTATTATTTTTATAGTGAACCAAAAAAAAAAAAATTTCTTTTCACTCACACACACACACACTTGAAACATAAGATTCTCGATTACCCGAATTATTCATTCATTCAATCTTTATTAGAGTGAACTATTTTTGTTTTTGTTTTGGAGAATGAACAATTAAATTCTTGAGTATCTTTCAAACACATTCATTAGAACAACAACAACAACAAGAATCGTCGTTTGTATATATTAATGAATGAATGAATGAATGAAGATGTAAACAAAACTTTAACAAATCGACAAAATGATGACAATATACCAATACCAATAATAATAATAAAAAATCGGTAAACTTTCTTTGTGTTTTATCGGAAAATTTCCAAGAAAAAAAATGAACATACTTGAAAAACAAAAAAATAAATTGAAGACATACAATAAATTTGCACAAGGATTATATTTCATTATATATATATTATTATACAACGAAAAAAATGAGGATTATTTGTATAGGATTTTATTCGTTTGTTTGTATACAATATTGGTCAGTTTGTTTTTGTTTTTGTTTAATTCTTGAATGAATGAATGAATGAATGAATGATAGGAGAAAAAATGATTTGAATTCTATAGTTCTATTGACCATTATTGCTAAACATAATTTATGG